TCACAAGCCAGGTTGGATTCTGGTAACGTGCCTGAATAAGGCAAGCCAGGACTAGATTGTGGGTGAGATCGGAAAACTGAAACTCTGGCCGGAGACAGAGCTCTCGGTAATACCCGAAGGCGAATTGCCTAAGCCTCAGCTGGGCATTACGTATTTGCCTCGCAGCGAAGCTGACTCTCCGGAGGAGGCGGCTGTGCCGTTTGGGTACAAAACGAAAGGCTCCATACCGAGCTCTGGAGAATCCTTCATCTTAGGGACGAGGAGAATGGGTTCCTGGTAACCTTTTCCCTGGACGACCCATCGGCGGGGGCTCTTCGGAAGGCAGGCGGGAGAGTCATCCTTGGCTTTAAAATGATAACTTTTAAAGTCAGGGGAGGCTCTGACGTGGCAATGGAGCCTGAACCGCCCCAACTCCGATCCTCCCAGCCCTCCACCTCTCGAGGTGAGACTGGAACGCCATCAGTGAGAGTGACGAGGACCCAAGGCGCTGATCTCGCCTCGGTCCGACGGCCTCCGCCGTTGTCGTCCAGGAGTGTGGGCAGAGGAGGTAGGAGCGGTACAACGAAAGGTAAGGCGGGGGTCAAGAGTGCCGGTAAAGGACGTTTTCGTCCTCAACTAGTGGAAAAAGCCCCTGCCCCCCCACGCCCTTAAATGGCTTACCCTGAGGGTAAGACGAGGGTCCTCCATGCAAATCGTCACCATGCAGCAGCTGCTTCTGCCGTGGTGGAGGTTTGCTTTGCAGAGGACAATATTGACCTCGCCCTCATACAAGAGCCTTGGGTGGCCAACGGACAAGTTCTAGGATTATCGGCTGCCGGTAAGATTCTTGTCAATACTAAAAGCAGTAGACCCAGAGCTTGTATATAATAAAAATATTAAACTTTTAGCTGTTCCAGAGTACTGCAATGATGACCTGGTTACAGCCTTCATAAATCTCAAGGGATGCACAGGGGCCAGAGTAATCATTTGCTCAGCCTATCTTCCCGGAGAGAACTCAGATCCTAACATCGAGTTAGAGCGAGTGGCGGAGTTTGCCCGAAAACACAACGCCGAACTTGTGGTGAGTTGTGATGCTAATGCTCACCACACAGCCTGGGGAAGCACTAACATCAACGAAAGAGGTGAGCTACTCTATGATTTTCTCATCTCTAACCGCCTGGTACGCCTAAACTTAGGGTGTACACCAACCTTTGTTACGCGAGCTAGGCACGCAGGCGGATAAATGACTGGCATGTTAGTAGTGAAAACTCGATGTCTGATCACAAACACATTAAGTTTGTGATTGGAGCATCACCAATCAATGAAACCGTTAATTTTAGGGCTTCAAAGCGACCTCCTGGGATATCTATAGAGATAACCTAAGGAGGAATTTGGAAACGTTTCCTAAAAGCATCAAAACGATTGAAGGTCTGGAGTTAGCGACGGAGACAGTAACCGAATGGATTTCGTGAATCCTTCGAGGGCAGTTGTCACGTCAAAACCAAGACCTCAACATGAAAAGTTCCTTGGTGGAATACTAAGCTAAAAGAACTTAGGGAAAAGATCAGGAAACTATTTAATAGGGCTAAGAAAACCAAAGAGTGGGATATTTATAGTGCAGCCCTAACTTAATATAATAAAGAAATTAGGAAAGCCAAGAGAGCATCGTGGAGGAAGCTATGCGAGGAAGTTGAGTCTTTGCCTCACAGTGCAAGACTACACAAAATGCTATCGAAAGCGAAACCTAACCAGATCGAGCTTCTTAAAAAGCCTGATGGTAACTTCACTAATAGTGAAACAGAAACATTGGAGTTACTAACGTTAAACCATTTCACTCAAGGGTCACTCAAGATCTCAGCCTTAAATTCTTTCAGAGCCCTACGAAGGCCTTGTAATGAGGACTGGTGTAGGGCTGCAAAGATAATAAGGCCAAACCTGGTGCAATGGGCTGTTGACTTCTTTAAACCATTTAAAACAAGCGGGGGAGGATGGAATAATTCCCATCCAACTGCAGATGGGTTATGACATCCTTCTTCCCTGGCTTGGGAAGCCCACTTCGGATGTGTGTTGGTGGACTGCGGTGAGAGGTGTGTCCTCCCCACCTACCGCTGCAGCCGAGGTGGAGTCGCGGAGGAAGAGGAGTGTTGGTATGGCGATGCGCCACTCGCCCTATCCTCCGCGACTCAAACGGGGCCGCACCGTTGATGCGGTGGTGATGGGGCTGCGGGGGGAGAGGATTGTCGGTATTGCGAGGCGCCGCTCTCCCTATCCTCCGCAGCCGAATCTCGGTTGGCGGCGGAGCCATAGACCAGATCCGCCGCTGGGGTCGGGAAGGCTAGTACTTCTAAGTGCTCGTTTTTCCTGGCCCCATGGCCTTCGCGCATCGGACGCGGGGGGCGTCTGTTGCGCAGATGTAAGTGGAGGCCGTGGAGGAAGGCGTGCCATATGTTCTGGTGCGCCTTCCTGGGGAAGGAGAACGGGGAGGAATATTCCTCTCCCGATGAGGTGCTGCCATGGGGCGGCAGTCGCTGGTGGGGCCGCGGATGTGTGCGAAAGCGTTCCCGTAGCCCTGCTAATATGCGACGAAGGTGGAACACCATGGGGTTTTAGCCGGTGCGAGTCCGACATAACCCGTCCTTGCCCCCCGCAAGGCGGGTATGCGTAGGCATTTCCCCATGTAAAAAAAAAGGGTCGAAAAAGCACTGGAGGATAAAGAAATAGCTCTTTGTGCCTTTTTAGATATTGAGGGCGCCTTCGACAGTAGCCCCACATCACTGCTGATTGGGGGACAGACATCTAAAAATGTTGACCCCACAACCATCAGATGGGTGAAGTCGATGCTCTCAAACAGAAAGGCAAAAATAGCGCTGTTTCAAACTTCGATTGAGGTTGCAACTACAAGAGGCTGCCTGTGGGCAAGGTGGACAAGGACAAGGTGTTTTGTCACCCCTTTTTTGGACTCTTGCGGTTGACCAACTATTGTACAAAATGGCAGACCTACGCATTGACACACTGGGTTACGCTGATGACCTTGTGATCATTGTGAGGGGCTTTTGAAAAAAGTACTTTATCGTCAATAATACAAAGGGCCCTAAACACCACAAATAACTGGTGTAGGGATAACAGTTTATCAGTTAATGCTGATAAAACTGTTATAATACCCTTTACCAAAAAAAGGCGGTTGGACAAGTTAGTCCAACCAAAACTTAATGGTAAAGAAGTACCATTTTCCACGGAAGTTAAGTACTTGGGCGTAACAATCGACCAAAAACTAATGTGGAACTCTCACCTTAGCAATGTATGCCATAAGGCAAAAATTGCTTTAGGTACGTGCAGTCGTTTGGTCGGGAACAACTGGGGCTTGCGTTCTAGTATGGTCCTATGGCTGTACAGCAGCATAGTGAAGCCGATTCTCACGTACGCCTCTATTGTCTGGTGTAACAAGGCTAACCAAAAGACGACTGCGGACAGACTAAATAGTATACAAAGGACTGCCTGCTTAATGGCAACTGGAGTTATGCGATCATCGCCTGGAGCGGCTCTTAATGCACTTCTATGCCTAACGCCCCTTGATCTCTATCTAGACAAGGAGGCGAGGGCTAGTTTGTATAGGATTAACGCACAGGGCGGTGTGAGCTTGCTCTCCTACAGATTGAGATCCATGCTCGACTCAATTAAGGAATCACCGATTCCTATGCATGATCTCAGATATCATGCGTCCACTATACACTTTTGATAAAAATTATATAGTAGAATTACCCTCCAGAGAAGAATGGCTGAATGGCCAGGTTATCTGTGAGGTCGGTAGCCTCATATGGTATTCCGATGGGTCTAAAATGGGCCTCGACGTAGGCTTTGGAATTTACGGGGAACGCCCCAAATTCAAACTTAGCATGAATTTGGGTAGATACACCTCTATCTTCAACTCTGATAGTCAAGCAGCACTGCTAGCGCTGAGGTCAAACTTAGTGAACTCGAAGCTAGTTGGAGACTGCATGAACCATTTAAACGCCCTGGGATGTAACAACAGGGTCGTTTTAAGATGGGTTCCGTGTCACGAGGGTATTGTAGGCAACGAATTTGCCGACAAACTTGCACGGGAGGGCTAAATGTGCACACAATTTGGACCTGAGCCATTTTGTGGAATCCCAAGAAGCCTAGCCCAATTGACCCTTGAAACTTTTTATCACAATAAATCACTTAAGATCTGGTGTGACACACCAGGCTTAAAACATTCTAAAACCTTAATCCGGGATTTTGATCGTAAAATCGCTTCAGAATCCCTGGGATTAAGTAAAAATAAATTGCGCATTCTGGCAAGAGCCCTAACTGGACACTGTTGTCTTAAAAAGCACATGACCATCCTGGGACTAAGCAACTCAAGGATGTGTCGGTTCTGTTCCATAACGGAAGAAATGCCTCTACGCATCCTAACTGATTGCGGACCTTTAATGCGCAAACGTAACACTCATCTGGGAAACTATGTACTCCGCCCAGAAGAAGTGAAATTGCTCACGGCTAAGCAACTCCTTCTATTCATTGAAGACATAGGGCTTAGCCGTGAACTATAGCCATAGCAGCGATCACAATAGATCTCCTAGGTCGCAGTGATACTGGTCTCTTTCCCTAGACCTGCATAGCTGCTCGCACTTAATAAAAATATCTCAAGCAAACCAAAACGGCTCTTTTCAAAACCACCGAAGGTGTGCAATTGCATATGTCATACAATCTATCTAGCGGTAGTACGCTTTCTGTGTGCTTTATTAAACACGTCTTTGACAGCATTGATTATGAAACTAAAGAGTGGAGACAGCTCAAGATTGGTGTATTTTTATTAAACTGCTAAAAACAACAAAACCATATTTTGGGCTTGCCCTAGTTTGGAGCCCTAGCTTCGCCACTGTTTCGGATTGAGTTACAATAAAACCTTTTTTTATTTTATATATATTTTCCATTCAAACAAAAAAAATGTTTAAAAACAAAAACTACGTTGGTTTAAAGTTGTCAGGTCGTTAACAGAAATGGAGCTCACGCGTGAACATTTCCGTGCCATAATTTATCACAATTTTCGTCGCGGCTTCATCATCAGCATCATCATCATCATTACATCCCTTCACAAGTCCACTGCTGAACATAGGCCTCCCTCAAGGTATGCCACAAAGCACGGTCCTGATCTACCTGCATCCATCGACTTCCTGCATGTCTTACCAGGCGTCACTCCATCTAGTGGTGGGTCGCCCTACACTTCGCCTACCGGTACGAGGCTGCCACTCGAGAACCTTTTTTCTCCAACGGTTGTCGGTTCTTCGAGCTATATGGCCGGCCCATTGCCACTTCAGCTTATTAATCCGTTGGGCTGTGTCGGTTCTCTGGGTCACTCTGGTTCTACTGCGGTTATCCTCATTTCTAGGTTTAACACGCAGAGAAACCCCGAGCATAGCCCTCTCAATAACTCGCTGAGCGACTTTGAGCGTCCTCATACGACCAGCAGTGAAGGACCACGTCTCGGTTCCGTAGGTCATCAATGGCAACACGCACTGGTTGTACAACTTATAATAGTTTCCAAGTTTTGAGGTATACCTGACGAGAAGATGTGTCGTAATTTCCCGAACGCTGCCCAGCCGAGTTGAATACGTCGATTGACCTCTCGGTCGAAGTTGAACTCACCTAATCGGACTATTTGTCCCAGGTAAACGTACTTGTCAACAAATTCGAGCTTAGTGCTCCCAACAACTACGGGCATAGGTGTGACATGGACATTAAACATGATCTTTGTTTTGTCCATGTTCATCTTAAGACCTATCCGTTGGGAGGCACTATTGAGGTCATTGAGCATAGTGCTTAAGTCCTCCAGCGATTCTGCCATAAGGACTATATCGTTGGCAAATCGAAGGTGAGTGATGTACTCGCCATTGATATTTTTTTATAGATGAGGGGGCAAACGAGCATGCGGCTCACCTGATGTTAAGTGACTACCGCCGCCCATGATCAACCGCAACACAATGGGAATTGCAGGTGCGTTGCCGGCCTTTTAGAAAGGAGTAAGCTCTTTTCTTGGAGGTCCCCAGATCGTATCGGTCCGGAAAAATCGCCGGTAGTAAACTATTCCACAGAGAGGTCATACGCGGAAGAAAACTCCTTGTGAAACGTACAGTGGTGGACCGCCAAGCATCCAGATGGTGTGGATTTAATCGAGACGTTTTCCGCGTAGTGCGTTCAAGAAATTTGGCGGCTGGGATAATCCGAACAATTCCTCAGAGCACTCCCCATGGTATATGCGAAAGAAAATGCAGAGAGATGCAACATCTCTTCGCAGCGCCAGTGGATCGAGCCGATCGGAAAGCATTCGGTCGTCGACGATTCTAGCCGCTCTGCGCTGGATGCGGTCGAGTGGAAGGAGCTAGTACTGGGGAGCCCCAGCCCAGAGATGGGATCAGTATTCCATGTGCGGCCGAACCCGCGCCTTGCAAAATTGCAGGCGGTGTGCCGGCATGAAATACTGTCCCACTCTGCTGAGCACGCCAAACTTCTTAGAGGCCAATTTGGCCATCTCTTCCAAGTGACCACGAAACTGCACATCACTTGATATGTCGACGCCAGGGATTCCGATACTGGCTGAGGCAACAAGGCGAGTGCCTTGAAACTTAGGAGATACGACAATGGGGTTCTTTTTAGCGGTTAACGCGCAAACTTGTGTCTTCTGAGGGTTAAACTGGACTCGATTTAGTCGCCCCCAATCCGAAACTCTGTTCAGCAAAGACTCGACTTCAGACACAAGTTTGTGCCGGTACTTGGAGACGTTTTACCGAAAAATATTGGCACGACCGGTGTACAGAGCATCACCAGTGCTGTCATCTGCATAGCAATTAATGTTACGGGTTTGCAACATATCATTGATATGCAGAAGAAACAGCGTTGGCGATTGCACGCAGCCTTGTGGAACACCAGCATTAATAGGCTTTTAATCGGAGCTTGCACCGTCTACAACGACCTTGATGCTCCGATCTGCAAGAAAGCTGGTGATCCAATCGCACAATTTCTCGGGAAGCCCAGAGGAAGGGAGCTTCGAAAGAAGCGCTTTGTGCCAAACCCGATCGAAGGCCTTCGCAATGTACAAACTAACGGCCAATTCCTCCCCCTTGGACTCTACTGCCTCCGCCCATCTATGATTTAGGTAGACCAGAAGATCGCCAGCTAATCGACCACGGCGAAAACCGTATTGGCGGTCACTAATCAGCTGGTGATCCTCAAGGTACCTCATGAGCTGGCAGTTAACAACAGACTCCATTGTTTTGGAGAACAAGGAGTTGATCGGTAGTTGGACGGGTCTGAGCGGTCGCCTTTTTTAGGGATCGGTTGGACAAAAGCCGTCTTCCATGATTTTGGGACTACGCCTTGGGAGTAGGAGTACCGGAAAAGACGCGTTAAAACCGGTGCCAACTCTGGACAACACGTCCTCAGCACAATTGGCGGGATTCCGTCCGTCCAGGGAGAGCAGTGCTTTGCGAACCGAGTGCTGTGTAAACTGCACTTCCGGCATGGAGCACTCACACCGCGCGATGGTCGGCGGCGTACTCCCCCCGTCATCGAGAGTCGAGTTGGACGCAAAGAAAGAGCCTAGTAAATCGGCTTTCTCCTTTCCGTATGAGAAGTCCTCCCTGTGCAGCGATGGAAGAGATGGCTGACAGAAATTCACCTGGACAGCCTTGGCGAGAGACCAGACTTGCACGGGTTCCAGAAGGAAGGTGAACTAGTTTCTCGCCAATTCTGCCTATGTGCTCTGACTTTGCCTTGGCAATGACTCTTTTGAAGGACCTAGAGGCGGAATTATACTTTTTTTTTAGAGCGCTGGTGTTTGCATCCCGAGACGTTCATGCGTCAGCCCAGGCTTGGTAGCCCTCCGGCTTATAGCATGATGTTATTTTACAGGAGCGACCAAACCATGGCTGAGATTTGCCTCCAATGGGCACCACAGAGGAAGGAATAAAAAGTTCCATACCCTGAAGTATCACATCAGCGACAGAATCCGCAACAACGTTGGGATCGTCCGGCGAAAAGCAAACCCGCCCCCAAGGGTAGGATGCAAAGAAAGACCGCTACCCATCCCAATCGGCTGACCTATAGTGTCAAACACGGCGGCGACCTGTAGTATGCAACTGCGATTTCAGCGTGAGTGGCACTACACTCCGGACAATACAATGGGCCGAAGAGCCTAAAGGGGCGTCGGCGGAAATCTGATATCCGTCCGGGTGAGAGGTCAGTAGAAGGTCCAACAGGGAAGGTGCATGATCCTTCACATCTGGAATCCGCGTAGGCGAAGTAACCAGTTGTGTCAGACCATATGCCAAGGCAAAATCATGAACAGATCTCCCCGCATGATCGGTTAAGCATGAACCAAGTCATTCGGCGTGATGGGCGTTAAAGTCGCCGAGGATCACGATCTCTGCTGTAGCAACGAATCTGTAGCCATTTGGACGTGGTCACCGCCCAAATTTCGACGGAATCAAAGACCTTCTCATAGTCCACATACGCCAGGCAAAATGGCAGATTGTACTCTTCGGACTTCTGTACAATTTGCCGAAGGGTATGTATGTGGTTTATGGTAATAAATCCTTTTCAGAAGCCGGCTTGTTCGGGAGGCTGGAAGTCGTCGAGTCTGCGTGCGAGACGGTTCGTAAGGATTCTCGAAAACAGCACGTAGACGCGACTCAGACGGAATATCGGTCTGTAGTTCTTCAAGAGGGCGTTGTCACCTTTCTTGAAGAACAAGATCACCGCACTTCTGCTCCACGCCTACGGAGTAGTGCCACCATGAAGGACGGAATTGAAGAGCTTCTGAAGGATTTTAAGTACCAGTGTTCCACCCACTTTCAGAAGAACCGCTGTAATTCCATCCTCGCCTGGGGCCCTGCCGTTTTTAAGGTGCTAGAGAGCCATTCTAATCTTGCTCAGACTGACGTCCGGGATATCATCGGAATAGTGTTGGAAGAGACTTGCTCTTGGATCGTTACTCACACTTGCGTGTGGCTCCAACGATGATGTGTACAGCTGCCCATAGAACCTCTCAATCTCACTCAGAATCTCAGATGTCACGGAAACGATACCGCCACATTCAGTCTTCAGCTTTGACAGTTGGCTCTTACTGGCAGACAGATCTCTGGCAAAGATTTTGGAGCCCTGGTTCCGCTCAATCGCTTCTTCAATACGAGCTGTATTGAAGTTGCGTAAGTCCTGCCGCATGCATTTGGAGATCTGTCTGTTCAGTTGCCTGTATGCTGTCAAATCTGCTGACGACTGCAGCTTCATCGCCCGTTTAACATCCATGAGATGAAGAGTGTGATCGGAGAGTTTTTGTGTTCTTCTGCGACGAGTCTTGCAGAACTTAGCTCCGACAGTTAGCATGGACAGTTTCCACGAGCTTGTCATTTATATCGTCCACTGTATTGCAGTCTTCTAGGCACCGAAAACGGTTTTGTAATTCGAGCTGAAAGTTTTCGGGACCCTGGATTAGCGCACGAGGGGCACGGAGCGTTGACTTCACTAGACGAGACCTCTCCAACTTAACGTTTAAGTTCAGTGTGCCTCTAACCATTCGGTGATCGCTGCCAGTTTTCACCCTCGCGTTCACTGAGACATCACTGAACAGTTGGCGTTTGACCGTCATAATGAAGTCAATCTCATTTTTTGTCGAACCGTCGGGGCTCGACCAGGTCCACTTCCTATGGGGCCGCTTCTGGAAGAAAGAGTTCATCATAAAGAGTCCCTCTTTCTCCATAAAGTCGGCCAGCTGCTGGCTCCTACGGTTCTGTTGCCTTCTCCAAATTTCCCTAACTTCAGCTCACTGCTTTCTCTTGCTCTTGCTTGCCTAGTTTTGCGTTGAAGTCTCCTATCAACACGGTGTAGTGGGTTTTGGAGGATTGCATGGCTCTAGAAATATCCTCATACATTTCCTCCACCTCCTCATCGGGATGTGCCGAGGTTTCAGACGGTGACCGGATAGCCAGGGTGGGGATGTCGTTGGTGTAAGCCGCGTACAGGACTGGAGACAGACAGCTGCCCTGTGATACACCAGCTGTTATGGGTTTTATTGCGGGCTCGGCGTCCTCTACACAGACGTAGAACTTCCTGTCTGCGAGGAATGACGCCACTAGCCGCAACATCGCAGGAGGGATACTTGTCTGATCTTTCAGCTTGTAGAGTAATCCAGAGTGCCACACCCTGTCGAACGCCTTCTCAATGTCGAGAAAGACGCCCTACAATGTGCGGCCGTGGTTGTGCTCGACCGCATGCACGTGCAGCACTCTGGTCAGCTGTGTCGCTGTTGAGTGATCCCTTCTGAATCCGTACTGCTCCGCCTCCGATGCTCCTGCCGCACGGGCGGAGGCGTTTTTTCAAAGCAATCTTTCAAACAGTTTAGCTAAGTGCGGTAGTAGCATGATCGGCCTGTAATTGGCAATTCTACGCCTGCCCTTCCCAGGTTTCAGCAAAACGATGATTTTGCCTTTCTTCCAGTTCTCCGGGAAGTGGGATGTCCGCAATATGCCAACGTAGAATCGATCAATCTCTACACGGA